CTGGCTGAGTCTTCTTTGGTCCTGGAACAAGGCAGGAGGTCTATAGTCACTGAGGACTGCTGGCTGAGTCTTCTTTGGTCCTGGAACAAGGCAGGAGGTCTATAGTCACTGAGGACTGCTGGCTGAGTCTTCTTTGGTCCAGAACAAGGCAGGAGGTCTATAGTCCCTGAGGACTGCTGGCTGAGTCTTCTTTGGTCCTGGAACAAGGCAGGAGGTCTATAGTCACTGAGGACTGCTGGCTGAGTCTTCTTTGGTCCTGGAACAAGGCAGGAGGTCTATAGTCACTGAGGACTGCTGGCTGAGTCTTCTTTGGTCCTGGAACAAGGCAGGAGGTCTATAGTCACTGAGGACTGCTGGCTGAGTCTTCTTTGGTCCTGGAACAAGGCAGGAGGTCTATAGTCACTGAGGACTGCTGGCTGAGTCTTCTTTGGTCCTGGAACAAGGCAGGAGGTCTATAGTCACTGAGGACTGCTGGCTGAGTCTTCTTTGGTCCTGGAACAAGGCAGGAGGTCTATAGTCACTGAGGACTGCTGGCTGAGTCTTCTTTGGTCCAGAACAAGGCAGGAGGTCTATAGTCACTGAGGACCGCTGGCTGAGTCTTCTTTGGTCCAGAACCAGGCAGGAGGTCTATAGTCACTGAGGACTGCTGGCTGAGTCTTCTTTGGTCCTGGAACAAGGCAGGAGGTCTATAGTCACTGAGGACTGCTGGCTGAGTATTCTTTGGTCCAGAACAAGGCAGGAGGTCTATAGTCACTGAGGACTGCTGGCTGAGTCTTCTTTGGTCCTGGAACAAGGCAGGAGGTCTATAGTCACTGAGGACTGCTGGCTGAGTCTTCTTTGGTCCTGGAACAAGGCAGGAGGTCTATAGTCACTGAGGACTGCTGGTTGAGTCTTCTTTGGTCCAGAACAAGGCAGGAGGTCTATAGTCCCTGAGGACTGCTGGCTGAGTCTTCTTTGGTCCTGGAACAAGGCAGGAGGTCTATAGTCACTGAGGACTGCTGGTTGAGTCTTCTTTGGTCCAGAACAAGGCAGGAGGTCTATAGTCCCTGAGGACTGCTGGCTGAGTCTTCTTTGGTCCTGGAACAAGGCAGGAGGTCTATAGTCACTGAGGACTGCTGGCTGAGTCTTCTTTGGTCCTGGAACAAGGCAGGAGGTCTATAGTCACTGAGGACTGCTGGTTGAGTCTTCTTTGGTCCAGAACAAGGCAGGAGGTCTATAGTCCCTGAGGACTGCTGGCTGAGTCTTCTTTGGTCCTGGAACAAGGCAGGAGGTCTATAGTCACTGAGGACTGCTGGCTGAGTCTTCTTTGGTTCTGGAACAAGGCAGGAGGTCTATAGTCACTGAGGACTGCTGGCTGAGTCTTCTTTGGTCCTGGAACAAGGTAGGAGGTCTATAGTCACTGAGGACTGCTGGCTGAGTCTTCTTTGGTCCTGGAACAAGGCAGGAGGTCTATAGTCACTGAGGACTGCTGGCTGAGTCTTCTTTGGTCCAGAACAAGGCAGGAGGTCTATAGTCACTGAGGACTGCTGGCTGAGTATTCTTTGGTCCTGGATCAAGGCAGGAGGTCTATAGTCACTGAGGACTGATGGCTGAGTCTTCTTTGGTCCTGGAAAATGGCAGGAGGTCTTCCATGTCCCGGGAACTGTCTCCAGGGTCAGACTAAGAGGTGCTGTAGAATCCCACAGTGCTGCTCTGCTCAGGCCTTCAGGACTCAGACTCCATCAGGACCTGCTGACTGATTCCCATCCAGTCTCTCCAGTTGCCTCTTCACTGACTTCTAGAGGCAGACAGGTGGAAGGTGGATGGAGCAGCACCACCTGCTGGTCTGGCTGATAATAGAAGCAGGAGAGTGAATGTCAGAGGAGGGCAGGATGTCCATGTGACTGTGGGCAGAAGAGAAAGATGCTGAGCTAGTTGAATGGATTCAGTTCTTTGGTTCTGTCTAGACCTCCATCTGTCTGATCATCCTTCTGCTTCAAGCCTGGGCATAAAGGTGTTGAAGGAATGAAATTTCATGTAAAAGTTCATAGTTTTCCATCCAAGCAGAACTCCGGTTAGCCAGCTCATTTAAAACATGTTCAATTTGATGATTCTTCTCCTTAAAAGAATCGCAATCGAGAATCGATGGGAACAGGAATCAGAACAAGGAATCGGAGCCTGAAATTATCCAACTCCAGGTCTTACTTTAGAGATGTATGAGTCCTCCACCTCTGCCTTAAACAAGTCTGCAACTATGGGAGTGATGGCGTTGCAGCAGAGAGGGAGGCGTGATGAAAATCACCAGCTGTTGCTACAAATGCATTATGCATTAGGTCTGTAGCTTAGCAACAATGGAAATTATTACCATGATAAATTATTATCACATGCAGTGTGGGCAACAGCAGACGGTGGAATATAAAGAGTTAACAACAGAACACTGCTGAACTCTCTGGGCAAATAATATGGCTGAAAACCAGCTGCCAACAGTTCAACATCTGGGCTGCAGTGACGATTCTCCACAGTAACACGTCCTGAAAGACACCATCAATAACACTGAAAACCACCTCCTTTAAATGTGGTCAGAAATCCTGGCAGAGAGACGCTTGAGTCTGATATATGATCCTGCAGCCATGTTTCAGTGAAACACATCATGCTGCATTGCTGATGTTCTGGTTGGGTCATTGCTCGGGCTGCAAGTTCTTCTAAATGTTTCCTAAAGATCTCACATTGGCCATGATGACTGATGGAAGAGATGTTCCTCTCTTGTCTTGCTCCACATCCCCACCGTCTCCTTTTAAACACAGCCGGTACTTTCAGCTGTATTAGTTCAGCTTTAGTCATGTTAGTTGGCTTTTCCTGGGTTTTATTATAACAAATATCCAAAAAGCTAATATATTAGTAAAAATCCTCCAGTTTAATTCTTCCAGCAGAGGAATTAAAGTTCTCTTAAAAAAGAATATGGGAGTCAAGCCAGAGGAGCTACGCTAACGTTTAGCCACCCTAAGCTGTGCAAGTCTAGAATAAAGATGCTGGAGAGGTCCCAGTGCTAGGAACTGGTCCTCACCTGCATCCTGCAGAGGTCAGGACTAGTGTTGCGCCGATGCCATTTTTTGGGACCGATACCGATACCCGATACCTGGCTGTGCAGTATCGGCCGATACCGATACCATAATAATGTAAAATAATTGCAATCATGGCTTTGTCAAGCTGCTGCCTACCTTTGTGAAGCAGGAAAAAGTCTAATACAAAGTGAATCCAGTAGAACTTTTTAATAAAAAGTTCTACTGGATAATAAAAATAAAAAGTTTTTATTGCCTACCAGGAGTGGGTGACAATAGTTGAATAAACTTATGGCTCTTAAAATGGTATCTGTGCCCTATTTGCTGGTACTCGCCGATACCGATACCACCATTTTAGGGCAGTATCGGGGCCCCGTCCGATACTGGTATCGGTATCGGTGCAACACTAGTCAGGAGTATCACTGACCTCCTCTGAGCTCCATCCTGGTTTCTTTACCATGTTGGAAAAATAAAAACACCTGCTGCTAAGGAAAGACCTAAATCCAGCGAAAAAAATAACAACCGTGTTCTTAGTTTTACACGAGGTTCCTTAGCCTGGCCTTTGGGTCTGAGAAGGATCGACCATAACATTAAAGATGAGAAGAGTTTGAGCAGGACGTTCCTCCTACTGCTGCTGGGCTGCAGAGGTGCAGTAAATAAGTGTTTGATTGTGAAGGTGAGTGTGTGTGGTGAAGGTTAGAGACCCAAGATGGCTACCCAGAGCAGGGCCTTACCTCCAGCTCTCTGTTTACTCTGAGAATCCCAGCTGACAGACATGGAAAAAGCAGCTTCTGATTTAGGGAAATGTTTAGAACATACACTGATTAACAGAGACTATAGAGAATTCATCTTATGTACGGAAGTTTTTCTAATGACGTTCTAAAAAACTTTAAAATGTGAAATTCTTTGCAGCTCTTTTATTTCCCCACATAAATGGCATAGAGTCCAATCAAACCTGAGTAATTGTTAAGAAAGGTGAGAACCGGCGGCGGCGGCGGCAGGGTTCCCCAGATGCAATGCAAACAGCTCAAAGCTTTAAAAATAGTTTGGAATGACAGGAAAGACAGAATGTGCTCGCTGGCTGACGGAGTTTCCACTGAGCAAACATTGATCTGTTTGTGCACCTATTTTGCTCCTCTCCTCCACAAAGAGTCCTCTAACATCCTGAGAGAGCCTCCTCACATGCCTTCACACTGACTGCACTAACACTGAGAGCACTAGAGAGTAAAGAAGGGAGGACAAAAGGGGGAGGTCACCGCCTCCTCCTTCACTTGACCTCTCTGTCCTCGCCCTCAGCCGCTACCCACAGCCCCATTCCTCCGGTTCGTACCCATTAAGAGATGACAAATGACTGTCGTTCGTCTTTGAAGTCCTCAAACCCACATTCACAGCTCCTTGCATGTTCCTATTGTTCATGCAGAACCTAAGTGTGAGTATAAATGGGGAGACGCTGCTCACACCCCCATCACAGCTTTCTGATTACTGATGAAACCTAGAAAGAAGATCTAAGATGATGGAGCGCTGCTCCCAGAGACAGCAGACCTATTGAGGCTGGAAGAACAATGAAGCAGCCTGAAACCTTCAGAGAAAAAGTTAAGATCAAAGATATTGGAGCTTCTTTTATTGCAATATTCATTTTATATTGTTTTTTTATTTTTATTTTGCACTAATCACAAGCAGAGACGTGTTTAATTCCAGGGTTTTAGTAAATGTCCAGAGGTTTTTCTGATGCGTAGAAAGTTTTCTTCTGGATAGCGTGCATGGATAAACGGATATGATTGTTGCTCCAGCAGCAACAATCTTCCACCTTTAAGAGGATTATTGCCCCCGAAGGACTGAGGAGGTATAACATGTTTGATTTTTAATTCTGCCGTAATAGAAAATCCTCGTCCAGCCAGAAAACAGCTGATTTCTATAACCTCCTGGACAATAATCCTAGGAAGAGAAAGATGGCGGCCTTACCGTCGGAGCGGTGGATGCAGGTGTGCTGGTTGTCGCTGAGGAAGAAGCCGTCTGTGCACTGACACTCGTAGCTTCCCATGGTGTTCACACACACCTGTTGGCATCCTCCATTGTTGTCCAGACACTCGTCCACATCTGGGCAGAGACAGAAACAGGGGCCCAGTTTCCCGCTTTAGCTTTATGAATAATGACATATGAGTGAGAATTGATGTTCAGTTAGAGGGTTGACACTAGAGTCAGGAATGTTGCAGGAACAGTCATACGGTCAGGTGGGTTTCTGTGGCTGAATTAAAAGCTTAGCGCTAAGTGCTAACAGGCGACAGTCCAACCTGTGGGGAAAAGGAATGTTTATATTGTGCCATATTGCTAAAAGCTTATAAAATTTAAAGGGGTATCTTGTTTGGCATGAAGTGAACAGTTCCAGTAAACAGATGAGATCAGATCTCTGTAGGAAACCCTGACAGGGTGACTGTGAGAGACAGGGTGACTGTGAGAGACAGGCTGACTGTGAGAGACAGGGTGACTGTGAGAGACAGGGTGACTGTGAGAGACAGGCTGACTGTGAGAGACAGGGTGACTGTGAGAGACAGGCTGACTGTGAGAGACAGGCTGACTGTGAGAGACAGGGTGACTGTGAGAGACAGGCTGACTGTGAGAGACAGGCTGACTGTGAGAGACAGGGTGACTGTGAGAGACAGGCTGACTGTGAGAGACAGGGTGACTGTGAGAGACATGGTGACTGTGAGAGACATGGTGACTGTGAGAGACATGGTGACTGTGAGAGACAGGCTGACTGTGAGAGACATGGTGACTGTGAGAGACAGGGTGACTGTGAGAGACAGGCTGACTGTGAGAGACAGGCTGACTGTGAGAGACATGGTGACTGTGAGAGACATGGTGACTGTGAGAGACAGGGTGACTGTGAGAGACAGGGTGACTGTGAGAGACAGGCTGACTGTGAGAGACATGGTGACTGTGAGAGACATGGTGACTGTGAGAGACAGGGTGACTGTGAGAGACAGGGTGACTGTGAGAGACAGGGTGACTGTGAGAGACAGGCTGACTGTGAGAGACAGGGTGACTGTGAGAGACAGGGTGACTGTGAGAGACAGGGTGACTGTGAGAGACAGGGTGACTGTGAGAGACAGGGTGACTGTGAGAGACAGGGTGACTGTGAGAGACAGGCTGACTGTGAGAGACATGGTGACTGTGAGAGACATGGTGACTGTGAGAGACAGGGTGACTGTGAGAGACAGGGTGACTGTGAGAGACAGGGTGACTGTGAGAGACAGGCTGACTGTGAGAGACATGGTGACTGTGAGAGACAGGGTGACTGTGAGAGACAGGGTGACTGTGAGAGACAGGGTGACTGTGAGAGACAGGGTGACTGTGAGAGACAGGGTGACTGTAAGAGACAGGCTGACTGTGAGAGACAGGGTGACTGTGAGAGACATGGTGACTGTGAGAGACATGGTGACTGTGAGAGACATGGTGACTGTAAGAGACAGGGTGACTGTGAGAGACAGGGTGACTGTGAGAGACAGGGTGACTGTGAGAGACAGGGTGACTGTGAGAGACAGGCTGACTGTGAGAGACAGGGTGACTGTGAGAGACAGGCTGACTGTGAGAGACAGGCTGACTGTGAGAGACAGGCTGACTGTGAGAGACAGGGTGACTGTGAGAGACAGGGTGACTGTGAGAGACATGGTGACTGTAAGAGACAGGGTGACTGTGAGAGACAGGCTGACTGTGAGAGACAGGGTGACTGTGAGAGACAGGCTGACTGTGAGAGACAGGCTGACTGTGAGAGACATGGTGACTGTGAGAGACAGGGTGACTGTGAGAGACAGGCTGACTGTGAGAGACAGGCTGACTGTGAGAGACATGGTGACTGTAAGAGACAGGGTGACTGTGAGAGACAGGCTGACTGTGAGAGACAGGCTGACTGTGAGAGACAGGCTGACTGTGAGAGACATGGTGACTGTGAGAGACAGGCTGACTGTGAGAGACAGGGTGACTGTGAGAGACAGGCTGACTGTGAGAGACAGGCTGACTGTGAGAGACAGGCTGACTGTGAGAGACAGGCTGACTGTGAGAGACAGGCTGACTGTGAGAGACAGGCTGACTGTGAGAGACAGGCTGACTGTGAGAGACAGGCTGACTGTGAGAGACAGGCTGACTGTGAGAGACAGGCTGACTGTGAGAGACAGGCTGACTGTGAGAGACAGGGTGACTGTGAGAGACAGGCTGACTGTGAGAGACAGGCTGACTGTGAGAGACATGGTGACTGTAAGAGACAGGGTGACTGTGAGAGACAGGCTGACTGTGAGAGACAGGGTGACTGTGAGAGACAGGCTGACTGTGAGAGACATGGTGACTGTGAGAGACAGGCTGACTGTGAGAGACAGGCTGACTGTGAGAGACAGGCTGACTGTGAGAGACAGGGTGACTGTGAGAGACAGGGTGACTGTGAGAGACATGGTGACTGTAAGAGACAGGCTGACTGTGAGAGACAGGGTGACTGTGAGAGACAGGCTGACTGTGAGAGACAGGCTGACTGTGAGAGACAGGCTGACTGTGAGAGACAGGGTGACTGTGAGAGACAGGGTGACTGTGAGAGACAGGGTGACTGTGAGAGACAGGGTGACTGTGAGAGACAGGGTGACTGTAAGAGACAGGGTGACTGTGAGAGACAGGGTGACTGTGAGAGACATGGTGACTGTAAGAGACAGGGTGACTGTGAGAGACAGGCTGACTGTGAGAGACAGGGTGACTGTGAGAGACAGGCTGACTGTGAGAGACATGGTGACTGTAAGAGACAGGGTGACTGTGAGAGACAGGCTGACTGTGAGAGACAGGGTGACTGTGAGAGACAGGCTGACTGTGAGAGACAGGGTGACTGTGAGAGACAGGATGACTGTGAGAGACAGGGTGACTGTGAGAGACATGGTGACTGTGAGAGACAGGCTGACTGTGAGAGACAGGCTGACTGTGAGAGACAGGATGACTGTGAGAGACAGGGTGACTGTGAGAGACATGGTGACTGTGAGAGACAGGGTGACTGTGAGAGACATGGTGACTGTGAGAGACAGGGTGACTGTGAGAGACAGGCTGACTGTGAGAGACAGGCTGACTGTGAGAGACATGGTGACTGTGAGAGACAGGGTGACTGTGAGAGACAGGCTGACTGTGAGAGACAGGCTGACTGTGAGAGACAGGCTGACTGTGAGAGACAGGGTGACTGTGAGAGACAGGATGACTGTGAGAGACAGGGTGACTGTGAGAGACATGGTGACTGTGAGAGACAGGCTGACTGTGAGAGACAGGGTGACTGTGAGAGACAGGGTGACTGTGAGAGACAGGGTGACTGTGAGAGACAGGGTGACTGTGAGAGACAGGCTGACTGTGAGAGACAGGCTGACTGTGAGAGACAGGGTGACTGTGAGAGACAGGGTGACTGTGAGAGACAGGCTGACTGTGAGAGACAGGCTGACTGTGAGAGACAGGGTGACTGTGAGAGACAGGATGACTGTGAGAGACAGGGTGACTGTGAGAGACATGGTGACTGTGAGAGACAGGCTGACTGTGAGAGACAGGCTGGACTGTGAGAGACAGGGCTGACTGTGAGAGACAGGCTGACTGTGAGAGACAGGGCTGACTGTGAGAGACAGGGTGACTGTGAGAGACAGTGACTGTGAGAGACAGGCTGACTGAGAGACAGGGTGACTGTGAGAGACAGGCTGACTGTGAGAGACAGGCTGACTGTGAGAGACATAGTGTGACTGTAAGAGACAGGCTCTCTCTGGACTGTGAGAGACATGGCTGACTGTGAGAGACAGGCTGACTGTGAGAGACAGGCTGACTGTGAGAGACATGGCTTGACTGTGAGAGACAGGTGGACTGTGAGAGACAGGCTAGACTGGTGAGAGACAGGTGACTGTGAGAGACAGGCTGACTGTGAGAGACAGGGACTGACTGTGAGAGACAGGCTCTGACTGGTGAGAGACAGGCTGACTGTGAGAGAGAGGCTGACTGTGAGAGACAGGCTGGAGACAGGACTGAGAGAGACAGGCTGACTGTGAGAGACAGGGTGACTGTGAGAGACAGGTGACTGTGAGAGACAGGTGACTGTGAGAGACAGGGCTGACTGTGAGAGACAGGCTGACTGTGAGAGACAGGGTGACTGTGAGAGACAGGCTGACTGTGAGAGACAGGGTGACTGTGAGAGACAGGCTGACTGTGAGAGACAGGGTGACTGTGAGAGACAGGTGACTGTGAGAGACAGGGTGACTGTGAGAGACAGGCTGACTGTGAGAGACAGGGTGACTGTGAGAGACAGGCTGACTGTGAGAGACAGGCTGACTGTGAGAGACAGGGTGACTGTGAGAGACAGGGTGACTGTGAGAGACAGGCTGACTGTGAGAGACAGGGTGACTGTGAGAGACAGGCTGACTGTGAGAGACAGGGTGACTGTGAGAGACAGGCTGACTGTGAGAGACAGGGTGACTGTGAGAGACAGGGTGACTGTGAGAGACAGGGTGACTGTGAGAGACAGGGTGACTGTGAGAGACAGGATGACTGTGAGAGACAGGCTGACTGTGAGAGACAGGGTGACTGTGAGAGACAGGGTGACTGTGAGAGACAGGGTGACTGTGAGAGACAGGGTGACTGTGAGAGACAGGCTGACTGTGAGAGACAGGGTGACTGTGAGAGACAGGGTGACTGTGAGAGACAGGGTGACTGTGAGAGACAGGCTGACTGTGAGAGACAGGGTTACTGTGAGAGACAGGGTGACTGTGAGAGACAGGGTGACTGTGAGAGACAGGGTGACTGTGAGAGACAGGGTGACTGTGAGAGACAGGGTGACTGTGAGAGACAGGGTGACTGTGAGAGACAGGGTGACTGTGAGAGACAGGCTGACTGTGAGAGACAGGGTGACTGTGAGAGACAGGCTGACTGTGAGAGACAGGGTGACTGTGAGAGACAGGCTGACTGTGAGAGACAGGCTGACTGTGAGAGACAGGCTGACTGTGAGAGACAGGGTGACTGTGAGAGACAGGCTGACTGTGAGAGACAGGCTGACTGTGAGAGACAGGGTGACTGTGAGAGACAGGCTGACTGTGAGAGACAGGCTG